TATGAAGTCTATAATGATTAAGTAAGGAGTGAATCCTTGAGTAAACAACTCAGGTGAAGTCAATGATTATTCATTTAAGTGGAATAAGGAATACTTTTCGTCTCAAATCAGAGAGTGTGTTCAGTCAGAGGTTTCTTCTGTTTTCCTGCAGAGAAGAACAGAATTAAGAGGTCAGTCCTGGCTTCAACCACAACTAGCAACTACTTGTTGATGCTCATCTGGTTTGTAGGATAATACTTTTAAACTTTTGACTAACTGAATTTTCCACTTGTGTTTTGTTAGCCTTTAAGATAAGCTGGACTCATGTTTGTGTGGAAATCTGAATCTTACAGTCTTATGTATGAAGCAGAAACGTTGACACTTAAGCTGAAATAAATAAAAAAGATGCATTATTTCAATACACAACTGCCACTGTGTTACTTAAATGTCATGCTGTTTTCTAAGTTTAAATTATTTTGTGCTGAGGAAAGCCTCTAAAATAATGCATTAAGGAGCAGGTGACAGAGGGTGTTTATATCTTAGAATATGTGCATGCACAGTTCAGTTGTCTGTCTCACAGTGCATCAAAATGGGTTGTGGAATTCTTACAATCATCAGGAGCCAACTCTATAGTAGTCTAATGCTAAAATTACTGAGAAAAACAAGACACAAATTACAGATATTTTAAGAATGTAATGCATTAGTCAATGTAAAATCAATGTTCATTACAGTCTGATGTCCAGTAAGAAGGGTGAACGATAGCAGTGACTAAGTCTGATGAAGTTTTGCTTAGCCAACAACAGCTTACAGCCAACATACTTCATGCTTCCCAATATTATGAAAGTAAATCTGAGAGTAAAACACAGATATTCAGTAAGTTGGAAAAAGACAGAAACCCTTTAAGCTTTTGGCAATCAGCTTCCCTCGGAGCTTGTGTGCTTTTCCTGTCGAGTTAATTATTTATTCGACAAGACGGCTGGAACTGGTTTCTAGCACAGGTTTAAGCATTATTTCAGCTCACCAGCAGCATGCAGTTGCTGCTGTTGTTAAAAAAAACTTTTGGCAATGAGCTCAAATGACATTATACTGAAATCCAACCTGCAGCAATAGAAATCAACGAAAAGTCAACATGATATGTCATGAAAACGTTTTCCTTATTTGGTTATGTTGTTTTAGCCTGAGCTAACACGATACATTCTAATTTTTTTTAAATCACCTTCCTTCCTTCTTGTGGCATGATAGTGGAATATCACTTTTTTTAAGCACGACTTCTGCTGAGTCTCACATGTGAGACATGGTGAAAGTGCTAAATGTCCTTTTGTGGAAAAAAAAGGTGTTGGGAACGGTTTCTACATCACTCAGAAGATATTTCACTTCAAATTTTCTGTAATTTTGATTGTTTTAAATCAATTATTGATTCAAATAATATGCCCTCCCAATTAATTCACAGTCAGTCAGTCGATTAACCACAGCGACCTAAAAAACACACTGTGGTCAAAATGATCCCTTATAGGTTGTTTCATTTTTCTTAGGTGGAACGGTGGCTTAAGGGTTAATGTGAGGTGTTTGTTGTTTTATTCCCAGAAAATGTAGGACATAAACGAGACGAGACGCTCATCAGTCACGTCAGTTACTGTCTGCAGCGTCCTTGAGTTAATTCCTTTGTCCCACAGGAGTATCTAAATCTAAACAGTGTCAATGTTTCCATGATGGTTTTCAGTAACCAGTGACAGCTGTACGTCTTGACCGTTGGAAAAATGTGACATTTTATGTTTTACCATGACATACTTTATGTACTGACCTCAATAGTCTTCAGAAATCATTCCTTTCATCTTATCCTGTGTCCTCCAGTAAATTTCCACTCGTTCACCCCCAGCACATACACTCCTTTTTCACAATCAGGCAGTTTGGCTTTGAAAAACTGAACACATATTATTATGTAATTATTAGAGAAGATAATGCTTCCTGAAAACTTGTAGTGTATTTGCTAAGAGCCCCCACTGACCTTTCTCTGTGTTGTCCCTACACCCTTCTCCTAATTGCTCATGTCAGTGTGAACACGGTGAGTCAAAAGTCACAGGACACCATTTCATTTCAGAGATAACTGGGAAAAATTACATCTCCGAATATCCCAGAAAGTAATGGGTGAGGGCGCCTTTAGTTTTTGCTGTCTGTGATTAATGAGTGAGAATGTCCAATGAAATAAAGTAGAGAAAAGACATTGTTACCATTGGCTGCTGTCAGTATAATGCCTGAAAAAGCATTTAATAGAATACTTCATCATGACGTTCCACGTCTTATCTTTTTTTAAATAGTTTTTTCATTTTTTGCAGAAAACATTCAACTTAGAATAAAAACAGAAAACATCACATAACTTACTTCAGTTTTGTGTATTTAAAAATGTTTATTAGTTTTAAAAAGTCATTAAAAAATGTATGAACAAAGCACTTCCCCTTATAAAAGCACCTGCTAAAATGCAAAGAAAAAAAAAATTAGCCATGGCAAAAGATTCATAGTCGAGTGCAGCTCCACAGCTCAGGACCACTTACAAGAGGAAGGGTAAAGTCTTCATCCAACAAACATCAATGCTAACAAACACAGATCCAGATAATGCCTAAACCAAAAATACAGATCAAAATCTTATGTATAAATGAGACAGGGTTGTCTAAATTCCTCAATATCAAATCAGACCTGATGTTAAAGTGAAACAATCTTCTTTTTAACAATAACCAGATTCACTGTACTGCATTTATGTATCCAGACATTAATTTTAGACCATATAATTATACACATAGTGCCACATCCACATTTTCCACATTTTACAGCAAGTGCAAATGTTTTCCAAACAATAATCTGCCAATGTCCAGTTCCGAGTCCTAAGAACATAAGTGTGTTGTCTCCTTATTCACCATCACATAGCTGGGAGGAACTTCTGCTAGGGGAGAACAAAACAAAAACAGTACCGCAAGGTTGGTAGTTTGCTACGACATTTCAAAATGTATGCTACAAAACATCAGTGCAGGGTAATGTGAATACACAATGACATCAGGTTTGTATGGCTACACCTTTTGTACAAACAACACACTGAATATAAATAGCAGAAAACTATCAAAAAGCTGTTAAAAACTGGCCACACCTCCAGTTTGAAGGACAAATAAAGCAGTGCAGCGTGACCAGAAAACAGAGCTAACGCCAACACTGAGAAAAAATTCTTCAATAAATTACAAAAAACAAACAAGCAAAAACTACCGTGTTCACAAACACATCAGCAATAGTAAACAAAGAAATCCTTAATGTTTCCCAGACAGATCTTTAGAGACAAACGTCTTTCCAGTGTGATAAAAGTCCCAAAAGCCTCTTTTAATCACATTGTCTTCCCGTGACTTAGTGCAGTGCATGCCTTACAGCTGTTTGCAGACACGTAGCTCCCGGTTTGAGCATCACATACAGGGGTGTTACGTTACTCTACGCTCATCACCGCGGCGCACGTTGTTGGAGGTTACATCTTTGGCATGGACATAAGGCTCAGAAACCAGAAACCCTCAGAGGCATCTTTGACTCGGTGGCTGCTCGGCATCAGTGTAAAGTTAGACTTTACATTAAACGGCTCCTCGAGACGGGCAGTAAAACCTCCACCGCACAGGCTAAACACAGTGTATTCTTTTACATTAACACAACAGATTGTCAGTGCTTTACAGTCAGTGTAATTGGCTTGCAATAGAATATGATTGTATACATTTGTTTAGTGATTTTCAGCTGAATCATCTGAACATCATAAATTACACCTAAGTGATCCTGTTTCAACATAAGTGCATAAATGGCCTATTCAAAGGTTATAGCTTAATAAATGGGTTTTATTATCAAGGGTTAGGTATTTTTATGGAAGGGGCAGCCTATAATACAAAGTCCCACAAACCCGCATAAGTGTTGTGTGACATAACCACCATATTAAACCTTAGTGCATAATTAAAGCTATTTTTAGGAGCATCAGAAAACAGAGCAGGGGTCATCCTTCTTTCCTAGCTATCACCTGTTTTCTTGGCATAGTGCAGTGTTTGTACATTAAGCGTGCTATTTAAAGGGATTTATCGCTTCTTTATGTTAAAATTCCAATTATATTTAACACATTTTTCCAAAAGAGGTTTGTAAAAAATAAGCATAAATGCACAATAAGAGACAAAGCTACCTATTGACAGCATCAACACCAGCTGTTTGATAACTGGATGATGTTTGATGACCAGTTCAGGCACACATTAGCTGACACCAAATTTATAAAACTGCTTGTAAAGCTTGAAAAATGGTTCAGAGATGCATGTTCCTTTCTTTTGTGGTTCCTTGTTTAAACTGACTTTTTGTATATTCATCAGTGTGAATGATCAATAAAGAGAACTGCAGGTTTAAAATTAGATTAATGGTTTACACGACATTTTAAATGTTCTTAACATCTTCACTCTCTTATTCTGTGATTATAAATACATACTTAATGGATTCACATGGATGAATTGGGTCCTATGATTTTGTTATGGGTCAATAGATTCTGTTTGTATACTTTTATGCATATTGTTAGTAATTGTTAATACCTTTAAGTTAATATATTTTTTTAACACACTAATATATCAGTCTTCAAGGGTTTATATGAATATTTGTTTAAATCTTAAGCTTTAATCACATGTTGACCGCAGTTTTCAGGCTTTATACGCCATGATAGACTGAAGCTGTTATCACAAAAGTGCAAAAGGCCTGTTAATCACAATCTGCGACTTATATTTACAGGGGGAATTCCACAGCTGTGGTCGGATTTTTTTTTTTCTTCTCAACGTTCAGTGTAATCTGCAACATTAAGTGTAGGAAGACATTTGCTCTTTTTGGGGAGTCTCCCGGCTGGAAGTGCTCTTGCGGTGATATTGTACACTTGAGAGGAAATGACCAGCATTTTCCTCCAGGATTCCTCCAGGTCTCAGTTCAGCCTGGCCCTATAACTGGACCCACCTCAGAGTGCCCGCAGTTGCGTTTTACAGTATAAATGCCTGAAAAAAAAAGAAAAAAAAAACCAACAGCAAAACCACAGATTTGCATGTTCAACATGAAAAAAAAAAGCAGTGTTCTCAGCCCATTAGCCCAACAGCTGGATGATCCTTACTCTCTAACCAGTCGAGCCCACCTGAATGTGGCGTGTCGTTGGTCATTTGCTGAAACAGCTGATCACTCACCAGCTCCTCTGGAGTGGCGTTTTGATATTGGCCGTGCTGCTGGTTGGGGTCAAACAACAGATTTGTGTCCAGTGCGTTAAGGTCGTTGATGCTACTGGACAGCTCCGGCGTCATTCGGATTTCACAGGGGAAATCTGTCCCGCCCGTGCTCAGCTCGGACTCCTGTTCCATGAGCTGGGTGCTGTCCGTCAGGAGGTGCTGCGCGCTGCTGAAATCCAGCTGCTGCTGCAGCTCCTCTTGCTGCTGCCGCTGCTGCTGCTGGGAGCTCAGGGCTAACATCACAGACTGGTACGGCTGCTGATGCCGCTTTCCAGGGGCTGCTTGAACCTGGTTGGTGCCTCCCGAGAAAATCATTTGTTCTTTAATGGCGTTCCCTATGAGGTAGTTTGGCCTCTGAGAATTGCTGGTGGGGTCGGACGACATGGGGCCGAGGTGGCTGTCAGCGCAGGGGAGGCTGCCGTTGGACTCCAGGATCTGGGTGAGGTTCATCCGGGCTGTGTAGGTAGAGGGTAAATTATTTATCCCCAAACCCCTCAGCGTGTCATTGTGGTCGGCGTCCAGCTTGCTCAGGAGGACGTTGGTGATGTTTTTGCTGGTGCATTGTTGGCCCGGCGGGGGCGGGACCTCGGTTTGCATCATGATGTTGAGCGGCACGGAGCGGCTCCTCTGGGCCATGCTGCTGGCCCCGAGTCCTGTCTTGCTGTTGGCAAAGATGTTCAGCACCTCGGGGGTGACGGGGGAGTTGAAGGGGGACACCACGGAGCGGGGGACGATGGGATGGGCTATGTTTCCGGTCAGATTCCTCTGGTGCACCGCGGGGCTCACGCTGCGGCATCGAAAAGCCGCCGACGCGCCGTTGGCTTTATTGTCCAGGGGAGCGGGCACGGCGAAACCCTCCTGCCGGGCGACATTTACAGCGCTGGTCACCTGCTGCTGCACGGGCGAGATGGGAGTCAGGCGGCCGAAGTGGCCATCCAGGTGCCGTGTGTGAGGAATGGCGAAGGCGTGAGGCTTTTGGAAATGGTCGTCTATCAGGCCCTGATAGCCGGGGAGGATTCCCATTCCAGCCGTGGACTTGTTGGCGCTCCCCGCGCCGCTGTTGTAGCTGTTGCTCATCCACTCCAGCCTCGCCTTGTCCGGGTGGGTGGCCATCGGCCTCTGCATGGGCTTGACTGGACTGCTGGAGACGGGGCTGCTGTCGTGGAAACCGGGGATGCTGGAGTTGATGGGCGTGAACGCGAAGGGGTTCCTGCACTCCACTGGGCTGGGGGGGACGGTGCTGCTGCAGTTGGAATGTGGCGTCCCAACCGGGGTGTGGCGGCTGCTCCCCAAAGCGCTGTCCACTGGGGTTGTGGAGGCAATGTGGGAGCGGGGGCTTTCTCCAGTCAGGCTCTGGGCTCCTCCCATCATCTCTGAGGTGGGCGTGGATGTTTGGACAGGGTTACTGCCGTTGTTGGCAGCATGATAGAAAGCAGTCATGGCCTGACTGGTGGATGCCGCCATGCCTGGGAGCACAGCCTGTTGGCTTTGCAGGGGGCCACATTTGCCAAGCTCCTGCAGGTGTTTTAGTTTCATCTGCTCCTCCATCTGCACCAGCTCTTCAACAATGCTGTCCTGAGTTACGTCATCATCGAAGGAGAAGTAGTCCATATGCTCCTGCACCGGGAGCTGACCGGACGATGCTTGATGTAGAAACTGTAAGGGGTCAGTAGCAGAACTGGGCTGAGCGTATGTCTGATGCTGAGCTCCTTCCACACTCCCTGTGGCGTTAGAGTTGGAACTCACACCCTTATGTTTCAGAAAACCTGGGTAATGCACTGGCTGCCCATGCTGATCCTGTAAAACTGAATCACTCATCGAGGTGCCAGTTTCCATAAGAGAACAAGCGCTTTTCCTTTGCATTGAGTTGTAAGGTTCGTCAAAACCACTGTTTCTGAGAAAGGAAGTGTCTTCTATATGGACTTGAGTGGGCAGGAAAGAGCTCATTTTCTTCTCGACCTCTCTAGTGGCTGGTGCGCTCTCAGGTCTAGTGGGAGCACTTGGCCTGGGCATATTGCCAAAATAGCCAAGACCCACAGCACCCTCTGCTGGCTGCTGAGACATGAAAAGTCTTTTCACTGGGGAGAGGTCTGGGCTGAGGCCTGATCGTTTCCTGAGACTCTTTGATGACAAGAAGCCTACCTTCGTTTGGCTGCTGTCTCCAAACGAAGCTAATCTGCTGGTGTTCTGGGAGGCAGCAGCACTGGTATTCTGAGAGGAGGCATTTGAGAGCAAAGTGCATGAATTATTGCTGCTCTCAACCACAGAATTAGGGTCTGAGGAAGACTTTTGGCTACATTTATTGCTGGCTGTTTCCTCCAGAGCCAGGAAGTATTTGGACTGTGGTATGGGCACGCTGGCAGCCCTCTGTACCGCCCCATCAGCTCTATTTGCCACCGCTACCTGGGACAAAAGCTGACAGCGGGGACTTTGCATTTGGCGGTTCTTATGTATAGCTTCAACTTCCATTTCAACATCCATGCTCTGAGCGTTAGGGGTCTGCTCTGACCTTGCCACCGGGGCCAGAATGGGGACCGCTGAAGCACTCCTCATGCTTTGACTGGATCCGATGTCTGCAGCAGAACCGACACCGGTAGATGCAGGCCGCGGCGTGGCGTCCGTGAGGGACGTGACGGTCTCACTGCCGTTAGGTGCCAGTGATATGGCGGCCATCTTCACCAAACTGACCGGGCTGACGTGGCACGTGGTCATCACAGTCTTGATGGGGCTGTTGGCGATGAGCATGGTGGAGGGCGAGCGCAGACTGATGGCGGTGGTGGCCGAAGGTTTGGGCAGGATTTGAGCGTAGCGCTGCTTAGCCACTGAGCTGGCTAACATACTTTGGGCAGGTTTGGAGCTGGGTTTCAACGAGTAACCTGACTGGGGGACCATTTGGAAGTTGATGGGCAGCACTTTGCTCTCCACCGTTCCCACTGGACTTGGAGACATCAGCTGCCGGCTTCTCTGTACCTGCAGAGAAAAAGAGCCACCGCGATGTTTTGTACTGAACATCATGTCAACAAGTTTAATGCTTTTTTAAGTTTTATTTTTAATTTTTTATATCTTCTTGTCTTTTTAAATGGCTTTTAACTTTGGCCTTTTTGCTAATTTTAGTCTCAGTCAAACAAAATACCAAAACAATAAACAATTCCCATGTAAAAACAGAGCTGTTTTTAGTCTTCCTCAGAAGGTTTCCTTCATATAACTTAATTACACGTTCATCAACTTATTTGAATGTATCAAATACTTTCTCTGAGAGCTTCATGTCTCGGGTGAAATACTTTTCTGTGGTAAATATGTTTGATTTTTTACGTCTGCCCGTCCCATAAACAGTGAAGTAAACCGTTTTGCTAATCCCGGTTACCACAAATTTGTGATGGTTTACAGATGTCAGTATTTAGGTTTTTCTACACACGCAGGACTCATGCAGGACTACTTGCAGGCCACCATAAATAGAGTGCCTGGTTTATTTTCTTTTCTAGGACCAAAGCCCTGAAGAATTCTTAGAATCTTTTTTCCATAAATCATACTTTAAACTTGTATTGTTGGGCACAAACAGTACTTAATGTTCAGTCAGTTTGTCTCTGTCTTTCTGTCTTTGATTCAATCAATTTATTTATGTGTCTTTAGGATTCATTAATACATTATTATTTTTTATTTCAGTTTCATATGTTAAATTAAAAAGCATTAAATCATGCAATCTATCATGTCATGCAGTGTGAATTACTGTATGTCCTTTATCAAACAGCACATTATGCTGTCTTGTCAGATTTGGTGTGAAGGTATCCTTTGGTTACCAGCACGTAAGTGTGAGTAATAAAAAAGCATCAGCAGCTCCGTAAGCTCTGAGAGGCATCTGAAATGGACTCAGTCAAATTTAGATTTTAATCCAGCTATTTAAACAAACAAACAAAAAACAGTCATATGTGTATACAGATGTTTCACTGCGGGCACTTTCCCACACATCTGTGTCTATAATATCAAGACCAGAAACATTATTGTGGTCTCAACTTTCCAACAATTTTGATGACTTTCTCTATGTTTTAACCCACTGGCATGTAACTTCAGGTTGAGTTTTCTCACCGTGACGGGGCTTGGGACGGCAGCCACCACAATGCCTATGGCTTGCTGTGGAGACGGAGGGGCGGGACTACCAGAGTCTTCCCTCTTAGCTTGTCCATCTCCAGGGGAAGGCGAGTGCAGCTTTTGCTCCTGTTGCTTCCTCTGGATTTTCCTCTGCAGCTGCTGCTTTGCATCGACAGAGGGTGAAGTCAGCATCGCCATGTGAGGCTGAAAGGGGTGAGCCTCGACTGTGGGGGCGAAGGCTGAGGCGCTCTGCGCAGGTTTGACTTCTGGATGAAGAAGAAAACAAATGTTTAAATGGGTAAGTAAATGCGCCACCAGAATACTTCCTTAATTAAAGTTTTGTTTTTTTCCATGTCATAAGTCACAAAATTACAGAAACTAAATTTTTACTTAATGTACGATTTTGTTATTGAAAGTCATCATTTATTGTCTCACCATCTTTTGAAATAATAAGTAGGCAGTGGTGGTGTTGTTGCCCTTTGTCTTATTTCAGATGTCAAAATGAATCCAAGCTAGTACAAAAATGCAAACTAAAAAAGATATCTGCACATTCAATCTTATTACTTTTTTTTCAAAAGGTTATGAAAAAAACTTCCCCATAATAGTTCCAGGCTGGATACAGAGTTTAACTTGAGACAGAGGCAGTGAGTGCAAGGGCAGGCTGCGGCCAGCAGATGCCACCACCGCCGCGCTCAGCGGGCCTTTGCTTTCTGACCTGTTGATGTGCCGGTCATAATGGTGAGCGCTGCCAAAGATTTGTTGCTGATGTTGTGACTGTCGATCAGAAAGCGAGCCAGATCTTCCACGGCATCGAACTGACGTTTCAGCACCTTCTGGGCCCATTCGCACACAAGATCACAGGCGGCGAACCGCACCTCCTCCTTGATGCCGCTGAGCTGGCCCGGTGACTCCAGCACGTCCCCCTGGTGCTACACAGAAAGGACATGGTTTGGTTTTATGGGCAGGACACAAACACAGAATTCTGAAACAGGTTGATGCTTTTACTCCATCTGATGTTTTATGGAGATCCAGGGCGGGTAAAGACGGCATGTGAACGTAGTGCCTCTTCCTTAGACCACTATAGCAATACGTGAGTCAGTGTTAAGAGAATCACACGTACACAAGCTGCGCAAAACAATCACAAAAGACAGCAATTTTTGTTTCTCTAATACTCTGCAGTTTAATCTGTTACGTAGATATATAAAATCAAACTACAGCTTGTCAACTAGAAACACATTCATATGGATTGAAATAACAGCTTTTATTCCTGTTTTCAAATATAAATATGACGAGCATTTGCTGTGGGGGAGGAAGACAGAATATAGACAAAAATACTTAAGTTCTTAAATGAAACATACAACCCAAAGGTTGGTGTGTTTAAATATATATATATATATGTGCTCTGATCTCAAGGTTCTGTTAAAGGAAATTTTAATTATTCTTGGTAAAATGTTTGTTTCACCGTCTTTATTGTGCGTTAATATAAGAATAAAAAATCTCTGTTGACTGTTTAAAATGTGTTTTAGAAATAAGTTTAGTCCATGACTTTTATTTCCAAACAATTCTTATGTATGAGGTTTTTTATATATCAGACAAAATTTATGTTCATATAATAACAAACAATGATCAACTGTTACGACAGTTAACAAGTCCAAAGCGAGGTCCCTTTAACTGGCTTATCGACAGGGTTTTTCAGCACCACCTGGCAAAAAATACATTTCTGAGTAACTGTGCTTCGACCGTGTACCGTGTCAAACCAAGTGTCACACTTTGACGTCACAAACTGTACAGGAAAGGAAAGACAAGTAAGCCTGAAGGTCAAGATCACAGAGCTTCCCCTGAGGGTCTCTGTATTATCCTTGTGCCTTTGAGGCAGAGGGGGGGGGGGACTTCATTTCATTTCGGGTCTATATTTAGAGAGCTGATGAACTGCAGCAGCAGATGGTTGGTGACCAGACACAGAGGCCAGACTGATACAATCCATTCCAGTAAAGGATATTTGGATTTTCCCCTCATGCCAAGTCGGCGCGCCTTCATGTTCGGGAAAACGTTTTTCATCATCTTTCCGAAGTCTGCCGCGCTCAGGGGGTGGTAGTTGAGGTTGTCACAGAAGCTCCTGGGACACAGATGAACAAGCATAAACAAATACACAACAAACAGGAGAGAGTGTCGGCTCCGAGCATAAGCAACAAAGAGAGCTCTAAGGTTAAGCAGAATTTGCATCCTGCTTTAGCGGACGGCTCTTCTTTTGGTGTCACATATCTTTTAACACGTTACTGCCGCCTGTGGATCGCTGGAATTGTGTGAAGGCATTGGCAAGGTTGAGCGTGTGCCGAAATAAACAGGTCAATTGGTGAGAGCCGCACACCCTCTTCATATGTTTGCGTTCGATTGAAAGGTACAATTGAACTCTTACTTCACTTTCACTCATTACAAAACACACGAGTGTGTGTAATTGAGCAACAGTCTGTGAACGACTGAAGCTGGCCCTATAGCTCAAGTTTGAAAATGACTGGCTGTTTCATAAAGAAAAATGGCGCTCTTTGCGTCTTTTTAAAGCCTTTTCAGCGGCCTGTCCTGAAGGCGCCAAAGCTCCTGGAGGGTGCTGTATTTCTGTTCTAGTGGAGTTAAAAAGATAGTTACATAACACTGTCAGAACATTTCAATGACTGTCTCAGATTTTCCATTCTAATATTACCAACACATGCTGCTCTTTGATTCTCATGCCTGCTGCGTCTATTTATACAGACGCTTTAGCCTGCAGTAATGTGGAGCAGAAAGACGAACGCCATTAGCTGCCGTCCGTACAAAAAGGAAAGGAAAATCAGAATCAGCCGGTGTCTTAAACATCCATTTCATCATGATTACTAAAAAAAAAAAAAAGTTTTTATAGTTGCTTTCTAAACCAGTAGCCTGACTTCTTCTGTCTGTACCTACTTGTACTCATCATAGACCTCCTGTTTGGGAAGAGAGGTCTCGGGGTATTCTTCCAAATGATCGCGGATCCAGTTGAACGCATGCATCTGCTGTGTGCGGCTCGAAGACAGGGCACTCTGGTCACTGAGGAAAGATGGGGATCAGTAACTTATTTCCAAATGACTAATAACACAGTACTTGGAGGATTCAAAGCCCCTGTGAGGCTTTGAATCATCCAGGCCCCTGTCAGCCTCTGTGTGTTACAGATTCAAACTTTTGACATTTCACATCATCACATTCAGACACGAAACGGTTTTGGCAATCACCACATTTTTCTTTGTGCGAGCAGATGATCGAACATTCTGCAACAAACACAAAGATTCCATCATAACAGGCTTTTTAGGGTTATTTGTTAAACACAGCCATTTATCAGAAATGCACAAACTTCAACACTTCATAAATACTTATATAATTGACTCCTTACACCATATTACTAAGATATTTTAACAGCTGCCTGCAGAGAGCAGAGATGGCTGATGCCCACAACACATGAGAAGGACATAAGTGGAGTGTTAAGCTTATCCAAGTAGCTGCTGCTTCCTCAGTTCATAATGTAATTAAGAAAATGCAGTTTATATATGGAGGTCAAGTGGAGGTCTGGAAGACCAATAAACAATCATGAGTGAACTGCTGGTAGGAGTGCTAAAGCAGCTGAATCAAAACCTGCGTCTGACTGTGAAAGACCCTCAGGAAGACAGAGCAGAGTGGACTAAATAACCTTGATGGATGACTCTTCGGAGGACCGCCTCCGCCACAAAACTCTGTTTCATAATCTGCACTTTTAGCCATGTCTGCTACCTTTTAAAACCAAGTCCTTTAGACTGATGAAGTATAAGTACATTTTTCTAAATAGGGAAAAGGGTCCCTGTCAGATCAGCCTTGTTTTGGGGTTTTATTTCAGCTGGTGGCACAATGGATTTAGCTAAATCCCCCAAAAAACTCACAAAGACAAAAACACTGAAAATAGATTGAGGATGGCTGATTAAATAAAAGAATAATAATAATGCTGCCCAGTCAAAATTCCCCATAGACAGACAAAAGATCTGTCATCACTCTAATCCCAAACAAGCTCAGAAATCCATGAATGGACCTCAAAAGTACAGTGAATGCTTCATGATTCTGACCAGATCATTTCCATTTTGTGGTTTTCAAATTAGACAGAAACATCATTCAAAACATGCTCGGAATAAATAGCGTTTCCCTGCTTCTACAGAACTTCTGAAAATTTCTGTTTTGTTTTACCTTTTGTCAGCGCTGCTGCAGGGACCAGAAGGCAACTTGAGGTAGAGGTAGAGTTTTTCGATGTCTGAGAATTTCTCAACATCCTGCTGCAGATTTAAAAAGGGAAAAATGGAAAAAGAAGAAGCTGTTATATTGGCTCTTACCCTCAATCAGTTCCATCTGTTTTTTAAATATTATAAGAGCATATATTCTTAAACTTCACAAAAATAGAAGAAAACAATTTTCACAATATATTCAGAAAGATGGCATCCACAGAGTAAAATTAATCTTGTGTTTATTTGTTTACATGCAACTATAGAGACCTTTTCATGTCAGATTTTCACTATGTCCACACTTCATTTCAGCTGGTCTTTCAAAACCTGCCTGGAACACACAAACACGCACAAAGGCCTGTCTCGGAGGAAAATGTCCATCTAACATTTACTCTATGTTAATGCACAATGAATGAACCTCCACAGTCTAACTCAGTCTGATACCTCGCTAGTGCCGTTATTCAAAAGTAAAAAAATAAACTTGAGAGTCAGCAGGTGCCGTTTCAGACAGCAGCAGAAAAAAGGGTTGAAAGAACATCCATACTCTTTACAAGTGAATTTAGCAGCAGACTGTCTTCACTGGCTATATAAAGCATCAGACTGCCCTTCAAAATTAAGGAGGCATTCCTCTAATCCATCAGGGGGAAAACACACATATTGGTTTAATAATTATTTAGTCTGATATAGAGGTGTGTAGTCTTGTTTTTGTATCTGGCAGCCTAACTTCTGTTGACTGAGCACTAAGGTATACCGTCAAAACTGCACTCCTTAAGAAAACTTTTTTTTTTCTCAGCAGGATTAAATATCTAGCAAAGTTTGTTGATTCATTTTCGTGGAAGAAAATGCAAAGGTAGAAAATGAAAAATAAATGAAAAAAATAAGGGCAGAGGATGGAGAGGAAACCCTGAAATCTGAAAAATAAACCCCCTGAGTCAGCAGAAGGCTGAAAAAGCACCAGTCAGTCGGAGCAGAGCAGAAAAACAAGCCAATAAGTTGCCATGTGGGCACTGTGTTTTTACAAACAGATGTTGTTCTTACATGAGGGCAGTGAAAAATCAACGGAGGACCCTTTTGTTTAATTTAGAAGAATCTGCAGCAAAATCGTATAGGAATGAGAGTCGGGGGCAACTTGAAAAAACTTCTCAGGGTTTTAAAAGCCTCCAAGCCAAAGAGCAAAGGTCCAGGATGTAACTGCAGCATGTCTCTGCTCCTTGGTATTCAGCGATCTGATCAATGTGGAACATGCAGGATAGGCAGACATTTGGAGTAATAAAGAGCTGCAGACAGACAGGCTTCTGCGGGATGAACCAAAATCTACTGCTGTTAACACTTCTAATGCAGCTCAGCGCGACCAGCCCAAGGAGCACATCCGCTCACAACACGTGGCCTCAGTCAAACATATTAACCTTTAAATTGGCTCCTCGGAGTGATTACTCACAGCTCAGCCCGGCCTTAAAGTGACTGACAAGAAGCAGCATCAATCAAAAAGAAGGCCGGCAGAAATATCATTAAAATCCCATTGAAAATATCAAAGATTCCAAAAGATGAATGGATTTTAAAGGGTGCTTTTAAAGTCCAGTTTTTGTAAGACTTAAACAGAATTTCTTTCCAACAGTGTTCATCCTCTAAAAAAAAAACAAAGCTTAAATATCCTGGTTATTTCAGGTGATCCAAACTTGCGGCTAAATTCAAAGGTTCTACTTTTAATCATGTTCAGACTTGCACCACAAACTATTTTTAGGTTTGGTTTAGTAGAAAGTGGCCCCACCGCAGCTTTACTGTATTTATTCTAAGAAAAACATGGGAGCTACAGCACCACAAATGGCCATTAGCTTTTCTCCTCACATGACTAAGAATCTTTTTGAAACATTATATCACTTCAAGTTACAACTGTTTTCCACAGTGACATTGGGATAAATATTGCAACGTCTAATGCACAATGAACAAGCTGTGTACCCAGCCTCGTTTATTTACCCAGCATTACTTATTTAGAGGGGAAAGATTGGAGAAAGGACGGGGTGTTTCAAACGTTCATGTCAGCCACAACTGAAACAATGCATATGCATGTCTGGTATAACTGAAATGCTGACCCTAAAAAAAAATCTGTTTTGACAAAAAATGCAATGGCATATTTAGAGGCCAAAGGAAAAGAGTCAGATTTATCAGGAAAGTTGAATTTGGGCACACCAAATTACTAATCAGCAGACGGAATACACAATCACAGCTGAACAGTTTGTTTGTTACAAATTCATTGGATTTGGAACTTTGGGAATCAAGCAAAGCTCATCCATTCAGTCTATGAACATAGTTCCCGGCATGCAGGAAAACCTCAGAAATGTTACACCTTCACAAAATACAAACACAGATAATTCATCTTTATGAACGCTGAATGTTTCACATCTCTGGTTTATCACAGCTGTCTCAAATTTCAAATGAGGTATTTGGGTGGACCACGAAAGCTGTTCTTTTCTCCAAAAAAATTAAAATTCAATTGACATTTATCAAGGAACTTGCAAGTAAGAAACAATGAGAGGGCATATCGTTTTAAATGAAGCAACATTAGCTCTCAGCTACTTGAGCTGTGTTCTGACAATGAAGTGACCCCAGAGCACTTCCTACCTGAGTACTTAATACTTATATAACAAAACCTTTAAGCTCAGATCAGGGTTTTGTAACATTTCAAAATCAAATTCAAAATCGATCCAGCTAATACTGATCGTATATGAACAAAATTCACAGAAATGTTCAATAACGGCTTTTCGAGGATCAGCATTGTGTTGCCAAAGGTAACTTCAACATTCAGACTCGAGAAGTGAGGCCCTTTTGCTCTACTTTCTGACCCACAGCCACCCAAAATGAACACACTCAAAGAGCTGGATCTGCTCATTAGGCATAGAGGACATTTAAAAACGGGAGAGGTTTTATCAAGGATGTCATGTATGATTGGCAGGCAGGACAAAATTACTCACCAGAATGTTTTCCACTTTGGACTGAACAGATTTGCTGAAAAATAGAGACAAAGTATAAATTAGAATGAAGCTGGTGTAACATGAGCGCTTGTGTCTAAAGAGTATTTATTTATAAAGCAGAGGAATGCCTGGCATGAGACGACCCTCCCTTCAGCATCTCCCAGGTCATGGATCCCACCACCAGTAACACATGTTGTCATGTGTAAGGGAAGAAAGACACTGGCATACATTGTTTGGAACTGAATATATTCCACCATTCAGAAATGAGGAACTCAGTCCGATGTTTAGAGGAGCTGGCATTTGGATGCTCTGCTGCACGGTTCGCTTTACAAATACTGTGTGCACGTGCTAGGTTCAAAACTCACAAAACAAGACTGCAAACAAACTGTTTCCATTCAAACGGCTTCATTTAGGTTCAAGCAGTTTGTGCAGATGCGTGATCAACTTCTGGGGGTTTCAGCTCTAATCTCCTGACGGGTCGGGCTGTTGTTGCCTGCGAGACAGGAGGCATGTCGCATTTAAAGAGTCTTACTTGACGACACAGGTCAGAATCAGGAGACGCTCTAAGCCATGACAAGAACGGTTCACTTTAATTCCCTGTTACCAGGGGGCCAAGGATTTCCTGGTGCTGAATGACCGTCGTTAAGCTGTTTGTGTGGCGGACTTGGCAGGTAAACCTAATGACACCTGATGCAACTTTTTGTAAAGATTTTGATCAGGAAACGGTGACACAACCTTTCCCTCGAACACTTCCACAGATGAACACGGGCCTAACTCATTTTGCCATTTAACACCACAGCAGCACGACAAAAAGAAAGGCTCCCAATGGACATGTTGACCCTTTGTCATCCCACCAATAAGATGAACATCGCTATCAAGTGATTTTCTCTCTTAACACTCTTTTAACATTGGTGAGGCGTAACAGATTCTCACCCTGTCTACGTGTTGGCAATAAACAGCCGCCTGTGCTGGGGCATGTCTCTGCTGTGGTACTTCCTGCAGGCGTTTGACCTCTGACCTGTTGGGGTCAATCAGCTCTGTGATCGTTTTTGGCTATTTGGTATCTAAATGATCGATAGTGTGTTCATTGAGAAATAAATAGTCAGATCACGGCTTTACACAACAGCAAACACAGATATTGTACACTTTCCAGACAGAACTCCCCTTAGGTGCTAAATAAACTACTTTTAAGTTGAGCTGACCTGACAAACGAACAGGTCAACCCTGACTCTTCTGTGTGTCTCATCCCACATCGGAGGTGGGATGGTTAGAAGTGACCAACATAAACAAGCAGTGCATTGCAGTGAGTTCTTGATCTGAGTTGGTTCAATCATTCAATGCAATTAAAAGTAAATGCGTGTGCTAAAATAAATTAGGACAAAAATGGGATTATTGCAATACTAGAATTGAAAAAACCCCACAAAGGAACAGTTTCAGAATGCTATCAAAATGTCTTGGATAGAAAAAAAACCCCACAAATCTTTGGGAAAACTAAGTTTATGTTGTTCAGGTTTCAAAGATGTGATGTTGTCTTCTAGGTCTGAGTATTCGTAACAGCCATTATCACAGCTTTTAGACTGAACATGGCGGAGTATTTATATCAAATAAGGACAGTGGTGGTCTATAACTAAACACACACTCCTGTCCAACTTTTGATATGGTTGTTTCCTTGAAAACTTACCACTTTCAAACTTAGTGTCACTCTTATTCCTAATTACACGTGAAAACTTTTTCCCCCCACAATTACTCTTATCCAGCAGTGGCATTTAATTCACGATTTATATCTTACCTTAAATAGATCAACTCATGCAATATAAAGCATATTGGTTGAACACTGAACAGTGTGAAAAGGTTGTAATAATAAATATACTTGTCAATATAGTTGACAGGAACCATCAACTCAAATAGATCAAGCAATTTGACTTTTTGCCAATTCATCAACATTACATGTTATTTGTCTTTTCAAATCACTGGAAACATTCAAGCATGCAGGACTTTAGAGATGTTTTGCAGTCTGTTTTTGCAGACTGATTCTCCTTTTAGCTCCCCTCTTTGCAGAACGAGAGGGAACTCGTTGGTTCTGCTCCTTAACCCCCAAACCCCTCTGACAGACAATATCACCTGGCCCCTTCAGCATCCCACCACGCACCGCCGTGTGTGAGCATCTCACCAGATGGAGTTCTTGATCCGAAGCTGCAGAGCGCTGGCCTCAGCCCCCTGCAGCCCGGGGAGCAGGCCGGGCAGGCGGTCCGGCTGCTGGGGCTCCTCCTCGGCCATTAGAGGGCTTCGGAACGGGACCGGACTGGACTACACAGGGAGGGGAGGGGGGGGCGCGGAGGGGTGTAGTCGTCCGCCGGGGCTAGACGACATGAACCGCGGGACGTCGCGTTGCTAACGGGACAGCAGCGCGCCCTGTTGTTGTTGTTGTTGCCACCCGGTCCTCCTTCGACATCGCTCGCCTCAAGTCCCCGACAATCGGCCGCTTAAGAGGTGGTGCAGCTGAAGTCCGAGCCGCCGTCAGCCCCGGTGTTTTGCATGGATATAAATAAAAGCCAGTGTAAACAGTAACGCTGACAGTTGGAAAACAACTAGCCTGTCCCTCCGGTGAGCTCTGCCTCGCACGTTGTGGGATTTCTTTGCATGTGCATGGTGTGTAGTAGCTGCTGGGTGGACGCATGCGCACTGGGGGGTCCAGCATAAATAACATGTAAGCTGTCTGTAACCAAGGGTGTAAAAAAAAAAAATGTTAGTAGTAGCAGTAGTAGTTTTATTGCAGCAACTTAATTTTTTATCAATTTGATTGGCAATACACCTGCTTTCAATACCAGTTTATACCTGTGCTTTATCATAAGGTGCATTTATTATATTGAAAAAAAACACTTCATGATGAGTCTAGTGCTAAATCAACCAACCAAATCCAGGTTAAAGTCATGAAACATCTTTCTGAAAAAATTAACACTATGTAGATCATTTAGTCCTCTTTGGCATTTTGAATGGGCTTTGCTATGTTTTTATAACACATAAAAAAGTTTAATCCAAGTTAAACATTGAATTTAAATTGGATTCAGATTTGTTTGAGCCTCATTTTTCTGCCTTTTAGAAATCTACAGTTGCAATTTAGTATCTTCCGGTGTTTTCCAATCCCATCTACTGATTAATTTAACCTTTGACCTTTCCAAAACACTTTTTTTTATTCCACAAGTTTTTCTTTTTCTGTTGAAGTTCTTCTCCAAATCCTTCTACTTTTCGGATCTGTTATATCTGTTTTCCAGCTAATATCCCCCCTTGACCAATGGGTTGGAATCGTCCAGTACCTTCATAGAAGGTAGCAGAATTATTTCAACTTTTACCTTTTAATTAGAACTCTTCATTCTTATATTTAAATTTCACAATGACAGTTCAGCTCAATTACAATTGAAGTTGTTTTACACATTTAAAAAAGGATTTTAGAAAATCCTTTTATTCAAATTTCTTTTGCCATTCTTCCTTCACTCTCCAGGTTACCTTAAGGATCCTTCAGCTATTGTTCTTCTTCTTGCCATATTTCAATGTATTATTCAGCTAATAATGTCTACGTTTTCATCTTTTTTCGCTGTCTTGGGCATCTTTTGGGGCGTATATTCAGCATTAAGTTGCTCTCAGAGCTGTTTCGCAGAAACAGCACTTCCTAGTTACAAAATTGTCTTTCTCGGGCTGCCGTGCAGCACGCGCCCAACTGCGTTCTGTTGCCAGGCAACCTGAACCGCTAATCTGTGCGCTACAATGGCTGAAAAAAGCTCTGATAAAAAGATCCAGTCCGCCGTCCCACGGGTGTGTATGTTTACTTTTCGTATATGTGTCTCGTGTGTTCAAACAGAAGTATATTAATGCTTCCAGAATTTAAAATGTACATATTTCCGAGTGGTGAACCCGCACGACCAATGGATTTACTTCCGCAAACATGACGGCTGGAAACAGCCAAACATAAAGGTTGTGATGGTGTTTGGTTATTAGTTCTCAAACATGGGTTATGTTATGTTATGTAAATGTTTTCAGTAGATTTAGTCATTATAAAGCTTTTTGTGATGTGAAAATACAAAATTGAGCAATTAAACGACCCAATAAACATTTTGTAAGATTAAAAGAAGATTCAAAGCATAAGTAAGTAATTAAATCATCTTTGTTTAACAGTTATGCTCTACCAGTGTACCAAGATTTAATCAGGCTTATATGGTAGTATTGGGATTGGTATAAACTGTTTGATCAAATGTTGTGATTTGCTGTTAAAAATCGAACAAAGTTCTTTCTTCTCATAAATTTCCTCTTGCTCTCCCATTGTTGTTGTTGTAGACAAAAGGTCGACCTTCCTCTACCAGTAAAGCTGAGAGCTCCAAGAGGGTTGAATTCAGACCACAGGCTAAATCTGCCTCAGGTCTAACAAAGAAAATTACGAGTGACATTTTTGCAAAAGAAGAGCATTACAAGTAAGATTGTGTTAGATCTTGCCTTTCTATCAACTTTATAATGTGTTTTCCAAGAGAAATATTTCTGTCAAAGCAGCACTAAAATTCTAATTGAAAGCATTATTTGTTGCTCTACTTCAACATGAGTGTGCTGTTTAATCAAAGTGTATAAGGTCTGTATAACGCCTCTTTTATAGACAATTAACCGAAAAAAGGACTTGTTCTACAAGTGACTGCTTTATGCACCAAAATAGCTTATGTTCCAATACTCTCTCACAACAGTGAAGGAAATGTATTACTGTGGCCTAAAGTGTTTTGTTTGTGGATATAAATATCTAAATATATCCTTAACCAGTTTCTCATTTCCATCAGGCTGTTAAATGCAGAGCTGGAGGCCAAAACAGCAGATTTAGTAAGACAAGCAGAGCAACTTATGGTAAGTTGTGTAGATTTGTAAACATAAATGAAAGGAAATCAATACTTCAAGAGGTAGAATGGGGGAAATGTGAACTTATAGTGAATTTTGAAGGGCAAACATGCTGACAAAGTTTAAATCTGTTCTGTGTGTTTTATCTGACTTTAGAGAGAACAGAGTGAAGTCTTGGCAGAGCCCTTATCCAAGATCTTGTTCTCAGATCTTGAAGATGATAACAACTCTGGGTAACAAATCCATAAAAGTCAGATAGTACAAGGGATAAGTGTGTCATAACCATGACACATTTTTATGGATGTGAAAAAAGTCTGAGTGCATTTACCTATCTGTGTTCCTGTCTCAGCTTCAGGGTAACAAAGTCTCGACCGCAGGCTGTGCAGGATCTTGGTGTGAAGGTATCAGTCCAGGCTGTAAAGTTAGGATGTCTGTGTATTTCTCAAGGCCTGCTGATAGTTTAAACAAACATACAGTACAATTGTTCACGTTATTATGACAAAAAGTTTAAACCACGTTTTACTGGATTTGTCGGCTCAATCTTTTCTTAGGCAGTGACAAAAAAAAAAGTCCCATCAACTGGACGAAGCTCATTAATTGGAAAACACGGAAAAAAGCTTCCCCGTAAAGCAGGGTGAGTTTGATTTAATGTGCTCTTAAGAATTTCATTTTTATTGTATCAGGCTTTTGTAAAGGGGTTCCTAAATATTGAAATGGTGTTTGTTTTATTTAGAACTTCTAAGGACTCCCATGTAGATGGTTCTGAGGATGTAGAGGATGCAGCTTGTGGTTTTTTGGCAGCCACGATTCAGAGCGTGGAGGAGAAGATGGAGGCAGAGACCCATGAGAGTGTTGTGGATGATGTTCCTAATGTGGAAGACTGTACAGGTTCAGGTAAATGAATGGGCTTAAATATATTTATTGATAATGGCTATAGATCAAATACCTATGTACAGATGTATCCAAAAGAAATATAGAAAGATGAGAGAATCTGTTGATGTTTTTTAAAGAAAGGAGTAATATAATCTCTCTTTCTATCGTTTTCTTTTTAGCTGTTTTGGACGCTCAGATTCGAGTTCTCAAAGCAAAACTTCGAATTATGCAAGAAGAACTGGACCAGCTGTCATGTGAATACTATAAGAGGGTGCTGTAGAAAAGATTCATAATCAGTGTTTCAGTTTGAAATGTTTTGGAAAATGATTAAGAAGTAACATTTCTTTAAATAGCTGGTCCTTACAAGTCCAGAAATCCCAGCGATTTGAGTTGTTTGTAGCTTTTTGGTTGACACTCCAACACTGAGGAGGATTAACATGTCCTGCTGTTGCAGGATGACGAGAACACAAAGCTCAATGCAAAAATTAAGGAGCTGGAGGAGGATCGAGCCAAACTGCAGAAGACCATCAGCATCCAGCAAACCCAGATGGACAAGCACAAAGCTTTAGCCGAGGAATCGGCCAAAAAATGTGACAGTCTTCAGCAGCAAGTGGCGGCTTTACATAAAGTTTGTTCCACTTACACCATCCCTAAAACTGACGTCATTCCTGTGAGCTTCTTCAAACCTGATTACTTCCTGGTTGTGCTGTGTGTAGGAGATTGAAAACCTGAACAGATCCCAGAAACAAGCAGCAGCTGTCCACAGCACCGTGGAGATTCGCTTGAACAGAGCTCTGGAGGAGGTGGAGAGGTTGAAGACACAACTTAACAAGAAGGAACAGATGAATAAAGTACGTGGCAAACACATGCTCTTTGTTTAGTTAATGCAGACTGTATTTATGGGGTAAGCTTTCAGCAAAGGGACAATTTTCTTTAATTAAAATACAAAAAATCTCAAATTTCATCATCAAAAACTGTTTTGCTTCACAAAAGATCCTAATTGTGCTTTTATTAGGACTCTGTTCTGTGACTAGTCCTAGATCCCTGATAAAAGTCAACCTATTTTTTTTTTAAAAACAACTGAAAGTTCATGACTGTATAAACAACTGACTCTTGAAACCAGAAAAAGTGCATTTCTGCTCAACTCTCCCTATTTTTGTTTCTCTTCTTTCAAATTCTCACAAACAAGGACAAGATAAGCGAGGAGCATCAGAGTAAGGAAAACATACTAGCTGAAAACAGAATGCTTAAGAAGCAGAAAGCTGAACTCATTGTGGGCTTCAAGAAACAACTCAAGCTGATCGACATCCTCAAAAGACAAAAGGTAAGCACCTTTTTCAGTTAAACCCTTAATCCAAGCCATGCTTACAGTTGTTAATTACGCTGTTAACCATTTGTGTGTGTGTGTGTGTCCAGATGCACTTTGAAGCTGCCAAGTTGCTGTCTTTCACCGAAGAAGAGTTCATGAAAGCTCTGGACTGGGGGAAGTCATGAAAACAGATGCCTTTTTCTGTTGAACACAAAAATGTACATTGCTACTTTTTACAGATAGTTGTAAGCCTTATAGAGTAAAGAACCTCTGTTTGGGGTCTCACACTATTTGATTACATCTTACAAATCTTGCTGTCGTCTTTTAAAGATGAAAAAATTCATAAAAGGGGCTTTATAACAGATTTGAATGAATATAGTACGTTTAATGGTTGTGTTCACTGAACAGCAGACTCATTATGACCTTAAACTGCCTTCTAGAGGCAGATCACAAAAGTTTAAAAATCTCCATCCAAGCCATCGTCTGACAGGTTGTCAGCCGGACGTATTCTGAAATTTTTCCTGAAATCTTCATCAAAGTGTTCCAGGTCATCTTCACGGAGCAAGCCCTGAAAGTAGATGCAGCATCGTCAGCCTTACATTTTCTCTCCTCAGCTGATGTGAAGCTGTGTAAATAATCACTCATACCTTTGGAAAGTATCCCAGGAGTTTCGTTGCGTGATGTTTTAAAAGTTTCTGCCTCTCTTCTTCTATGATCTTTCTACGACGGGCTTCCTTCTCCTGCTCCATCTCCCTTTCTTTAGCCTCCAGCTCCTAGAATGACAGAGCAACCGTTTTTAAACAAAGCAGTACCTGACAGCTGGCATGTATTGAAGTGATTTCTAATGTTGTCTGCAATGTGTGTTTTCCTAAGTAAATCTTTCTATCCATGCTGTGACATTTATCCAAACGTCTGGGATGGGATACTTTGCTTCATAAGGCTGCCTTCCAGCAGTACTGGTGGAACTACTGATGATGCAAAAATGTTGATGAATAAAGCGGTGCGTACCAGTTCAGCCTCATGCTGCCGTCTCTTGTCCTCTATCAGCTTCTCCACTGCACGCTTGTGTTCAAGTTGCTTCATGCGGCGTTTATGGGCGTTCATCTGCTCGATGCGATCATCCTCTGCAAACTTGGCCATCATTATTTTCCTATAGGCCTCCTCTTCGTCTTTCTCTGCTTGCCTTCGCATCTCTTTGAAAGCCAGTTGCTCCTGGCATGTCTGCTGCATAATCAGCCTTTGTCTGATTTTAGTCTCCATCTCTTCCTGTTAAGAACAAAGTTTTAAAAAATATGGAAGGTTGCTTTGAGGCTACTTACAGAAGTTTAGATTGAATATGATTTAGAATATGATCCTTACAATGTCTTTCTTCCTGTTGGCCGCCTCCTGTTTCTCAAAGTACAGCTCCTCACGGATTTGCTCCATCTCCTCACGCTGCTGCCGCTCCTTTTCGATCTTCTCACACAGCTTGAGAACAGAGAGCAGAGACATTAGAAACAAACAGACTTATGTGTCACTTACTGAATGGAGGCACAAAGAAAAGAGGTTGTGTGAACCATTTTATGTAAATGTTCCTTGGCTTCATCTCTCTCTTTGATCCTAGACATTTTGCTCTCCTCCATGTGCTGCTGTTGCTTCACAAACTCCATGATGCGTCTGTTCTCAGCCTCCATCCTTTCCTGCTCCATCCGCCTCCATTCAGCCTGCTGCCGTTTGAACTCCTCAATGTGCTGCTGAGTGGCTCTGAGCTTCTCCAGTTTCAGCTGTCTCTGCCTTTGACCAAACATTTCATTTCAATAAATCTCTCACACGGCAACATCTTCTATTTTATCACAGATAGATGGGTTGGAATTGTTTGAAATTAATAAAAATGATCAGGTCTAAATATATTTAGTCCACAGTAGTTAGGAAATACATGTCTGTCTTTTTTTTTACATTATCAGTGACTTACATCTGATCCTCCTCATAGATTTTTCTGACGATCTCGTCCACCATGAGTTTCTCTTTGAGAAACTCTTCGTATGCTTCCTGTCTCTTGCGCTCCCTCTCCATGAGCTGCTCTTCCAGCTCTTTTTGATACTGTACCAGCTCTTCATGGCGCTTCACCTCCAGCTTCTGCTGCTCAATGGCTGCTTGCTCTTGTTCACTCTTCATCTTACGAGCGAAGTCTGATTCTTCACGCTTACAGAGAAGAAGCACAGAGAAACAAAGATGAATAAATAAATACCACAGCTTCTGTGGGATGTAAACCATTGGGATAAACTTTCTAATACTTTACTCTGTTTTTTAATAAAAAAAAGAAAACTTTTACTTATTTCTTAGCTCCAAAAAGTACATAACCCTTGGATGATTTTTTTATGTTATGAAAATTTAAGGGGATGGAAAGATGGAAAAAAGGCCTACTTTATGCTCACCAAGGTCTCAAACCTCATGGCTTCATGCTCTGCAATTTGTGCAGCTCTTTCCTTGTTCAAATAGGCCGACCTCAGTTTGGATTCCAGATCTCGAAGCTCCAAGCTATACAGCGAAATAAAAGCAAAACATATATTTTGGTCCACAAACCAAGAGCATCCAGCAGGTCAGGGTAATTAGTTGTGTTTACCTGTTCTCTTTAATACACTGCCTCATTTTCTCTTCTCTTTGTTTCTCATAGTTGATGCGGGCCAGCTCTTTAGCCATCCTCTCCTCTTGTTCCTGTTGCCTTTCCCTTTTAATTTTCTCCTCCTCTGCCTGCAAATTGGATTTTATTAATTTAAGATTCAAATAAAATGCAAATGGGACAAGCTGGTTTACAGAGAAGCAAGCTTTGATTGTGCCACGGCTTTAATTTGGTAGTCAATTGCTGCTGTTGGCAGATTTGTTTACAGCAACACGAGTTAACTTTTCATTTCTTGTTATTAGAAAGAAGCAGAGAATGAGCTTCCAATCACTCTACTGTTAGTGTTTAAATTTCACATATTATCCACAATTAGAGCTATTTCACTTGTGAAATCTTCAGTGCGTTTCCATAGATAAGACAAAATGCACATTCCAAACAATTGACCCAGTCTTGAAAACTCTTTTAACCAGAGTCAATCTGTCTCTTCACAGTAACTTAATTCACCAGCTGTTACTGATATTGAAAATTAACCACTGATGATCTGTATCTTATCAGTGCACAGTCAAACGAGTCATCTGAAATCAACACTACACCTTTTAACCTCAAATTTGAACCCAAAGATTTTGTTTGTAAATGTAGAAGTTAAAATATCTCCACAGGATAGAGACCAACCTTCTGCAGGGCGCTCTCTATCTGCCTCTCACTCAGCTCCTGCTGCACCTGTCTCAGGAACCTCTTCTTCTCGAAGCTCTCCTCGACCTTCATATTGGCCTCCAGCTGCTTCTCTCTGTCCACGCGCCGGACCTCCTCCTGTCTGTGCTGCTCCTGAGCCTGGCGCTGAGACGCTAGCCTCTGCTGCTGGTTGTACATCCAGCTGCCACTCTGTCCCCGTGTAGAAGAAACAGGTGAATAACACTGAGCGCGTGTCAGTGATAACTTAGCGAACTGTTAGCGAAAAACATGCTAACGCGGACTTACCATGTTTGTAGTTGTTTTTGTAGTCTCCCACCTTCAATTTGATTTGTTTAAAACTCAGGCTGACTTTTGTGGGATTTATTTTTGATAAACCGCCTTCTTTATTAGTTCATTTTCCTTAGTTAACTTCGGTAGTCGTCCGGTTACTGCGGCCGGTTGTTTGGGGTCTCGTTGTCCGGGGAACAGTTCGGCTCTGTAAATTCAGCCAATGAACGTACACGATGACGTCAGGTCCGGGAAACTCAAACCTAGAAGTATTATTGCAGATTTTTTATTCCAACACTATCTATTCTTTAAGTCATGCAAAGTCAGCCTACAGGAAAGGGATGTATTATATAAGCGCGTCTCTCGGTTGCATACTAATGTTAATATAAACTATTTTCATTTTAATTTCAAGATAATAAATACACTACAGAGCCCTGAAACACCTCTCATTTCTTTAGATTTAAGTTAAAGCAGGCAGATTTTCTTTCAAAGTAGTCATGAACAATAGTTCTTTCTAGGTTCTTTAAGGTCGTTCTCAAAGGTTTTCTTGGAAAATTGTCTTATTTTTCCAGTCCAGTCCTCGTACCTGAAAATACTGAAATATGCAAAATGACACAAGAAGTTGACTAAAACTCAGTGGCAACATGTCTTATAAAGTATTTCCATGTGTAGATACTGTATATATACACTCCCAACCCCATAAGCAATGAGCCGTATAGATAAAGGATGGATGAATGTTATTTACGAGGCCTGAAAAACTGTTTACAAACACACACACTCACACAGACAGAGAGACAGAGAGACAGA